TAAAAATGTACAAGTTATTATGATGAGGGGTCTAGTCAGTTCTTGGAAACAGCCTATATATTTTGACTTCGATCAGAGGATGACGCAAGAAATATTGTTCAAAGTTATTAAATTTATAGAAGATGCAGGGTTTTATGTATGTAGTATCGTTTCCGACTTGGGGGGCGGTAATAGAGGATTATATAGAGATTTGGCAGTCGATGAAAAGAAACCTTGGTTTCTGAATCCTGACAAAAATCATAAAATTTTTGTATTTGCAGATGTACCCCATCTGTTAAAATTAATTAGGAATAATTTTCTGGATTACGGTTTTTTGATATCAGAGAACACTGAGATAAATCAAGAACCAATTGTTAAACTTCTTAGTTTCACGGGGGACTCTGACCTTCGAATTACCCATAAAATTAGTCTGCACAATTTGACTGTGAATGGCCCACAACGTCAAAAGGTAAAATTTGCAGCCAAGCTTTTTTCTCACACCATATCTCAAGCAATCAACAGATGTGGTACCATGGGACTTTTTACTGAGAACGAAAACTGGGTAGAATCTGCGATGTTTTTCAAACTGGTAAGAGCAGTAAGAATCAAGGGAAATTGCTTATAAAATAATGTTATAGGTAAACGACTGGTTTGATTGCTTAAATGTAAGAGTTCCTGAAAGAGATAGCCGAGAAAGAATGCAAGCTTTTGGGCTGCAGTTGGAGGTGCAAGAAAAAATTTTAGATACCATGTCAGACACTATGTATAAGATGAGAGTTAAAGGAAAATCGTCTTTAATGCCGTTTCAAAAAGGAATTATTCAGAGCAATAATGCTCTTAAACTGTTATTTAAGGACTTGAAAGAAATTTTTGGACTTAATTACATCTTAACATACAGACTAAATCAAGATGTTTTAGAGCAATTTTTTGGACAAATGAGGTCGAAAGGAGGATTATATGACCATCCTGACGCTTTAGATTTTAGATACAGGTTGAGAAATTTTATTTTAGGAAGGAATGAAGGTTCTATGTCAGAAGAAGCTAACGTTGAAGAAGATGATACTCCAGATGGCCCTATAAACAACATAGGAGAGATTTTGTTAAGCGGTAAATGTCTTTCTTCTTTAACTACAGAAAGTAGTGCCAACCAAGAAAATGGTGCTGACGACTCGGAGTTTCATGAGTTAAATGATCTGAAATATGACGCACTAGAACATTTAACAGGGTACATTTGTCATAAAATGAAACTTGTGGAGAGTAGAACGGAGCAAGATCAAGCTACATTTACTTGGACAGACCAATTATCAGAAGGGGGTCTCATAAAGCCTCCTGAAGAACTTGTTAAAAAAATGGCAGAGTTGGAAGTAATTTTTAATAGATTTAATGGAGATAACATCAAAATTACTAAAAACTATTTAAAAACTTTGTTAGATAATTCAAAATCCATTGACTGTAGCACCGAAATTAAATCATTATTTTTCAGATCACGAATGTATTTCAGGATAAAAAATCTTAACAATGCATTATGGGAAAGTAAAAATAATACTAAGCGGAAAAGAAAATTTCAAAAAATTGTTAATTAACGTGTAGAGTGCATCTTTTTTAAAAGTGGCAGCAAAATTTTGCGCAGTTTCTCTGTTGTCGATAAGGCTTTAATGTCTCCATCAGTGACCATTTTTACTTTTTCTTTAATTGTGTACTGCGGCATGGTGATGAATTTCGATCACTAAAAACCAGTAATCAAAGTTTAGAAACGTCAGGTAAATGTCTGTTTTTAGATGGCTGCCTACAATATTACAAACAAAACTATCCCAATATTTTAATTTTTAATGAAATATCCTTTAATTTAAAACATGACTTTTAATAAAATCGACAACAGATAACCCAAATTACATCCAGTTAAAATTTCAGCTCTGAATCTTTACTCAAACATAAGTTAACATGGGGTATAAAATTTAACATGGGAATCCCTGTGGCCACTTTTAAAAAAGATGCACGCAGTTCAATAGTACATTGTATTTATTTTTAGTAGTTATTAAAAATTCTTATTTTTAAGTTCAGATTATGTGGTAGAATTTTGTTTTTGTCAATTGTGTCGAAACCATTTTTTGTTCTATTAATAATAGATTGTTTTACAAGTAGTGAAAAGTGGTCGTTTTAATGGAAGGTTTAATTATCGAACGGAGCGAGCATGGAAAACACATTTTTCTTAAGTGTTGAACATGTTACTTTTTCGTGTACCTACTCAGTTTTTGAAAGTTTAAAACAGAGTTTCTAAAGTAGATTTCAATTTATGATAATTATATTCGTGTTAAATGTGCACAATTACCATAATAAAGCAAGTATGTTCATGATAATCAAATAAAAACGTAAAGAAGCAAAAAATGGATCATTCTGAAGATCTTTGCATTTTCAGATAATCTGCAGAACAAATAGTAGGAAAAGTATGAAAGGTGTTACAAATACTTTGATGAATGATTGAGAAGAACAAAAAATTCAAATAAAACGGACGAGACATCAGTTATGCTGAATGGTTGGAAAAGTGTTACTAACGAGAAAAATAGCACTTTTTATAATTAACTCTAAATTAAAGGCGCATTTTTCCATTGAGTACACGAAAAATAATATTAAACGCGAAATTTTAATTTGGCGCAGACGATAAAAATGCCTATCAAACTCCCTTAAATTCGTTTTTACAATTTAATGCAGATAGATACGTAAATTTATTTTTCCGGTCGTTTTATGCAGCGTTATAAATATAATTATTATATTATAATATAGGGGTTGTCCATAAAACACACTTTTTTAAATACATAAAGAATTATAACAGTAAAAATTAAAAATATTAGCGATTCTTCGTGCTTTTATGTTGAAATTCCAATAGTTCTACTCTCTGAGTGACGTCATGCGCGAACTGGTCTCATTTTGAGCCGCACGAGTATCATACCTTGAGAATTATTGTATCATGGGTGTGCCTCCTAAGAAAATCATGGAGTATTATAGATGTGGGCGCCAGGGACACCTCAAACGTCATTGTCGTGCTCGATTACCGGTTCCAAGAAAAAATACACAACAGAGATCTCACCAAGATGTAAAAGGAGCCAGTATTTTGGGGGATGGGTTCGCTGGTGAGAATAAGGCCGCCAGGGAAGTGAAAATATTAAGTTTCACCAGAGGTAGTGGTTCAATTATACCGGGGTAGATTTATGAAAATCCAGCAGCAATCACCATCGATACTGGCGCTGAGGTATCAACTGTACGTAAAGGATTCGTGAGAGCTGAAGATGTAGAACCTATACTCAAAACGATCAGATTGAAAACTGCAACTGCGAACAGCTGAGAATAAGAAAGACATCGGGCTCTCGTGGCTAGCATGGAAGATGACTTCATTTTGGGAATGGATTTGATTAGCCGCCATGGATTGACAATTGATTCAGTGAGGGGAGAATAAGAAAGACATCGGGCTCTCGTGGCTAGCATGGAAGATGACTTCATTTTGGGAATGGATTTGATTAGCCGCCATGGATTGACAATTGATTCAGTGAGGGAAGTCCTACGCTTTGGAAATGAAGAGTTCAAGCTGAATCAGCGTTGCATTGAAACGAAGCCTGCAAGATTGATCGCTTATCAGAACTGCAAATTCTGCGACGAGGTTGAGCAGCCGAGAGCACGGTTCAACCGCAGGAAGAACGCAATCGTAGAAAATGATGAATGGGCCACACCTCGGTGTAGAAAGGACCAGGAGGAAGACAAGGATATTGGGCCGCTCCTCAGATGGAAAGAAGATGGGACAGAACGACCTGGCTGGTCGGAAATATCAGACGAGTCACCTTCTTTCAAGGCATTATAGGATTAATTATTATAAATCAACCTTGCATGTCGAGAACGTATTGCTTAAGCGAGTCTGGGAGAGTCCGGATGGAAGGCATGTCACTATGCAGTGGTGGTTCCAGCCACCAGAATCAAGGAAGTACTTCGGGAGATGCATAATGGGAGTTCTGGTGCTCATTTTGGAATCAACAAAACGCTTTCCAAAATTAGGGAGAGATTCTACTGGGTCCGTTGCCGGTAAAACGTCGAGAGCTCGTGTAGGACCTGTGTGGTGGTTAAAGGACCGAAGATTAAGGCGAGAGGGCCCTCCCAGTGACTGAAGAAGGGAACAAGGAAACGAAAAAGGAGAAGCTACCGAGCATTCACCAAATGCTGCGCCCCAAGAACAGAGTGGCGAGTCGTCAAATAAAGACATAGTACGATCTTAGGGACAATTCAATTGGGTTCCAGGCGGGAGATTTGGAATGGCTTTATAACCCCCAAATAAGGAATGGTTGTTGCCCAAAGTTGTCATCAGACTGGGAAGGTCTCTATACTGTCGTGACGAGGATCAACGATGTCGTCTACAGGATTCGACTAGGGTCGAAGAGGAAAATGAAGATTGTTCACTTCGGCCGCCACATGAAGTACAACAGCAGCGCCGTTGACGTTTCTGATCGGGAGGAGGGGGCAGTGTTAAGAAATAAACCTATACGCCGCCCCGTTACGAGGCCTATGGGTTCTTGTATGTACGTTGCCGATGACTCATTGTCGGCGACGACGGTCGGAGAAGAGGCTGGAAGCGAATGGGCGCTCCAGAGAAGTCGAGAAGCGGTGACATAGACGTTTCGAGAAGGACCGCGTGCTGTTTAAATGGAAACAACCGTCGGGAGCAGGGGGAGTAGGCCGAACAACGAGAACTGAATTCAGTTAATAAGTCGAGTCCAACGAGTGTCGAGAAAACCCAGTAAAGTTGCACCGGAATCATTTTGTACATGATTGCTGTATGATTACATGTGTAAATCCGAGTTAGTAAGAAATAAATTGTTAAGTTCAACCCACGCCGATTTTAATCATCTGTACATTGTAGCAGTATGTGCCAGGAATCCAGAAGAGAAAATAAAAAATCAGTGCTGTGTGAAGTTAACATTTTTTATTATACTTGTCAGTACAAAACTATTAAAATTAAAGTCATGTTATTTTCTTTTTTAAGGGTTAACGAATTTGACCACTAATTAGAATATATATTTTTAATAAACTTTTTTGAAAGAATCAAAAACAAAAGCCATGTTCATAACATCGTAGTTTTTAAAAATATTTATACGTAGATCACAACACAGTTTTCCATTTTCTAATTCAAATATTTGCAATAACCACTTATATCGATTTTTCTAAGCTATCTTCTAAAATAATAAATATACTTCTTGATATTTATTCATATTTAATTTATGAATAACGTCTTTGTAAAACCTAAATAATTATGAAAGTGATTGTTAAAATGTAGGTTAGTGATATTTAAATGAGGTTGTGTTCAAATTTTAAAAACTACTTCAAATCGATATCTTCAGCCATTTTACGTTTTCGCGACTTAATGCCAGTTAGTGGCGTTTTAATTAAATTCTCGAAAAGGAAACTAAAATCACCTTTTCCTTCATTTTCATCCCGTTTATCTGGATCCTTTAAAGGAATTAGCTTATCTACACTTTTATCTTCTCCTTCTTCTTCAGGGCCTCTAGGTACCTTAACTGGAATGTCAGGTAATAAATTAGACTTTCTTTTTCGTTCTAGATCTAAATGTAAATTATAATTTTTAAGTAATAAATGAGACACGCGTGGCTTAATACTAGATCTGAAGACTTTCGGTGGTGAAGACGAATGAGACGTGCTTGTTCCGCCTGTGTTCGCTGAAGATGTGGTTTTTAAAAGAAGATAGTCTCGCGCGCGCACTAATTCTGTTGTTAGATCTTTGTATTTTTGATCCCATTCGTCCATGTGTTTTTTAATATCAGCTAGAGCAGTTTCTTGTTCTTGAATTTTTATCGACTGTTCTTGAATTTTACGTTCTTGATCCCTGATTTTAATCGATTGTGCCTTTAATCGTTTATTTTGCTTCTTCATCTGTGGCATAAAGTGCATGTGAGACATTTGTTATAAATATAAAAAGTACGCTCGTTACCTTTTGAAATAATTTCTGGGTGTTTTGGTTTAAATATGCGATGTGATGTTTGTATGTTTTGTACTGTTTTCTAATTTTCTGTAAGTCATTAACTTGCTGAACAATGAAAGGTCTTGCCTGTTTTATGTTTGGTGGACTACCAGAAAATGAGGCAAGGAACGCTGCAAAGGTAGTTACATGAAATATTTTTGCTCATGAAAATATACAAATAAGTGTACCTTGGCGTTTCTCGTCTATTTGTTCCTTATGCTCTTTTACGCGAGGCAAAATGTGCTCGTCAAAATGTTCCATGGCCATGCTGCTGAGGTCGCGCAGTTCTTGCAGTAGTTGGTGCGTGCGAGGAGGGGTGCAGTCACTTTCAACAAAACTCAGAACGTTTATCATTTCATCTAATACCTAAATTTAAAATGATATGGGTTTTACACTAGCGTTTAAAACGTTAAAATACATACCTTCCCAGGTATAAAACACAGTAAATTATTTTCAATATATTTCATGTATGTCATGTTTAACATACTGATTCGAGTTTCTACCGCTTGAAGAATGTCGCAGTGCCGAGATAATGGATGTACCCTTCTTTCGGATTCTCTGCGTGGTAATAGAGATTTGACACGTTTGTATATGGTAGAATGTCTTTTTTCTAATTGAATAAATCCCCTAGAAAGCATTCGGCTTCCCACTTCGTTGAATTTTCTGCAGACCTGTAAATAAAAAACACTCATTAATTACTTATATATATAAATATAAATACATATGTTTAAATGCATTTTTAGTTATATTTAGAGTAATATTAAATCCATTTAGTGTGGTAATTTGAATAAAGAGTGCTCCATATTTACAAATACTGGGAATGCTAACTATTAATTACACAGCTCTACAAAAAAAACATTTTTATGTTGCCCTGGATATCTTTGTAAATTTTTATGTTTTCAAGTGTCTAAATTACGAATATATCCATAAAAGTATTGAATGTGCTTTTTTTTATGATTTTTACATATCATATAGTTCGAACAATTATTGGCTTGTTAGTAATAAAATTTATTTTCCCAGTCATGATTATGTTTCTGCGCAACTTTTTCACGCATACAAATATCACGTGATCCCCACTCTCAGACTCCTTGCTCTGCAGAATAGCTGAGAACTCAGTTATTTGATAATATTGAAGTACTTTACACGTGAATCTGGATAAGTTGTTATTTATTAATATTTTGTTTCAATCGCTGAATGTCCATTCTAATAAATTTGTCTTATTTTTTAAAACATGAGTTCGTCACGGAGAAAGTGTAAATATAGTAGTGACTTATTTTGTTATATTTGTGGTATTTATATAACAAAAAAACAACAAAGAAATATCACAGACTTTGTTAAGGAAACTTATGCTGAATATTTCGGTTTTAAAATGGACAAACTAGATAAATCATGGGTTCCTCATAAAGTTTGTAAGTGCTGTGTTGAGTCTTTACGGTTGTGGAAAAAAGGAGAACGTTCTGGATTAGACTTTGGTGTTCCTATGATCTGGATGAAGCATAAGAATCATTTCGATGATTGTTACTTTTGCGTAGTAGATGCTAAAGGTTTTAATCGGAATCAAACGTGGAGATATCCAGACTTGCAGTCTACAAAATGTCCTATTTTACACAGTGAAAATCTCCCTCGGCCTATTTACATGTCAAAAGTACTTCGCATGCCCTCAGAAACAATGATGCTGCCAAATTCACAGCAATCGGGACAGTCTACTAGTGGAAGTGAATGGGAGGGTGAAACATCCACGCCAAAGTTATTTTCTCAAAATGAACTCAGTGATTTAATACGTGATCTCAATTTATCAAAACAAGGATCAGAACTGTTAGCCTCAAGATTAAAAGAAAAAAATTTATTGGCACCCACAGTGACAATTACATCATACAGAACGCGAGAAAGTGACCTATTACAATTTTTTGATGAAAATGAAGGACTGGTATACTGTAATGATATTGCGAAGCTGCTTCTAGATATGGGTTTGAAAGAATACAAACCTACTGAGTGGCGCCTTTTTATTGACAGCTGTAAAAGAAGTTTAAAATGCGTCTTACTACATAATGGAAATAAATTTGCATCAATTCCAATTGCCCATTCCACAAAACTCAAAGAAGAATATGAAAATGTAAAATTAGTTTTAGAAAAAATTAATTACTCAGGGCATCAATGGCCGATCTGTGTGGATTTGAAAATGGTTAATTTTTTACTTGGCCAACAAAGTGGATACACGAAATACCCTTGCTTCATTTGTATGTGGGACAGTAGAGCAAAGCAACTTCATTGGAAACAAGATGTTTGGCCTGCAAGAAATTCTTTAATTGTCGGTAAAGCCAATGTAATAAGGGAGCCGTTAGTGAGCAGAGACAAAATTATACTTCCACCATTACATATTAAGTTAGGAATGATAAAGCAATTTGTAAAAGCTTTGGACAAGGAAGGAGTCTGTTTTAATTACATTTCTAGAAAATTTCCGAAGCTTAGTATGGACAAGTTGAAAGGTGGAATATTTGATGGTCCTCAAATACGGCAAATGATGAAAGACACAGATTTTATTAAAGTTATGACTGTTCCGGAAAGTAAAGCTTGGGAAAGTTTTGTATTGGTAGTCGAAAATTTCCTAAGTAACCATAAAGCACTAAATTATGAAGAAATTGTACAAAATATGCTGACAAACTTTGAGACTCTAGGAGCAAATATGAGTATCAAATTACACTATCTCCGCAATCATTTGGATAAATTTCCGGATAATTTAGGAAATTATAGTGAGGAACAGGGAGAGCGGTTCCATCAGGATCTAAAAGTAATGGAGGAAAGATATCAGGGTCGATGGGATTGTCATATGATGGCAGATTACTGCTGGTCTTTAAAAAGAGATTGTCCCCTGAAAAATTATAAGAGAAAAGCTCATAAAAGGCGTTTTATGGAAATATAACATGTTTTCGAAATTTTCTTCTTTATTTACTTCGATGTATCCTAATCTTTCAAAATATAATCGATATTATAAATATATCTGGTATTTTGTTTTTTGTTTTCCGATTTTTGTAATATACAATGAAAATAAAGATTTAAAAGAAAACGAGAGCAAACTTTACAAAATCATTGATACTTTCATGAATTATTAGCATACATAGATCCAAAATCAATCTTATATCTAGGGCAACAAAACCACTGTAGACCAGTGTTATGCATTCACCTTATTATATTTTTTTCTTAAAAATATTCTTGAACTTTAATCATAAGTGGTTACTTTAGGAATATGCACAGATAGTTTCGCCAGGAGCTGGGAACAATTATTTCGACTATTTATGATTTTATATAGAAAGATGAGTGAGTTTAAGTGGCGCCTGTTTTCAAGGCTCTGTAACTCAAAAATCTTCAATAATTATTGTTCTTGAGAAAAACCTCTTTCAGGATAAAACCCATATTTCTTGACATGTAAATATTTTAAAAAGCGCCTTTGAAGATTTTCAATGTTAACACATAACCCGACCAAATTGTGGAAGCAAATTCGAGTTTAGAATGTAAAAAGGAGCAATATAATCTTTAGAGAGTATCAGAATTACTTAAAATCTTTGGAATTACGAATTATAAAACCTAGCGACTTGGAGGCTGTAGACACAATGTACTCATAATATCTAAAAGACAATTTGCATCAAACGCAACCCTTAGATCTTTTGTTTTGTCAATACAATTTAACACGGTATTTTCTAACATGAAGTCAAAGTTTGAAATATTACGCGGGTCCCGGACCAAGGTTGTCCGACGACAAGATAAGATCATTCATTCATTTTGCAAGAGTTAGGTACTTACAGACATGACCTGTCTATACTCGCTCTTAATTGTCAGAAATTTCATTATCTGAAATTCTGCCTCAAGGGCGGGGCTTGCTTCAGTAACAGTTTCTTCCAAAAATTACACAACTGCTTATGAACTATTTAAGAAAAGGTACGAGAATACTCGCTTAATCACACAAGAGCACGTGTTAGCTTTAATTAATCATCCTAATTTATTAAAAACAGATTATTAGTCCAGTCAAATTAGCGATCAACCTCGGAATGAGAGATAATAAGCTGAATTTTCGTATAGACCTTCATTTTAGCGTTCTAAAAGTTGTCTCAAAAGTCTCATAAAATCTCGTGTCTGCGTCGTAAGTTATTCAAGGTCAAAGGTGAAGAAAAACAGTTTTTTGCGATTATCTCGGTTTCAATTGCTCCAATGATGTTAACATCTATTATCGTAATTGTAGAGCACAAAATTTGGGACAAATTTTATTTGAAACATTTTTTCATGCGCTCAATCGTTTTTGAGATAGAGGGCAGTGAGCGCGCAGCGCTCATCCATACGTACTGTAATGCAATCAACCGTGAATATCTGTGAATACTACCTTTAATTTTGAATAATTTGTATTATTTATCAGTTAATACATTGCATTTAATAACATTTTACATATTTTCAATTCATTCATTTAATGATAATGATACTTACCTACTTTGTGGAATTAAAAACTCTTTAAATGAAATACTTATTGTATGTATATCTTAATTTATTGAAAGTAGATTTTAAGTAGAAAAATAATTAAGTACTTTATCTTTCAAATGTGAAAGTTTTTATATATTAGATAATATATTATACTTGTTATATTATTATACATCTAAAAGTTATATTAATTTTTTCAAAGTAAAGATTTAAGGAAGTAAAACGAGTTAATGTATTTTAATTTTATCTTTGTTCAGTACCTGTACATTTCTTACGATTGAAATTGAATTGCAGTGAAAATCTAGAAATCTTTAATAATTTAAAGAACAAAAGTATTAATTTTCTTCTTCTTCACCGTCATCTTCTGGACGTTCGGGAATTTCTGTTTCATCGTCATCATCTTCGGTGCCCTGAATCGTTGTTTCCAGACCTTCCAGTTATAATCATGATAGAAAAATAAGTATTTAAAACCTTACACATTTTAAAGATATAAATAAATTGAGATATACAATAAATATTTCATTAAATGCGTTTTTAATTATACAAAGTAGCTAAGTATTATTCAATGAATATGTTGAAAATATGTAAAATGTTTAAATACAATGTATTAATTGATAACTAATACAAATTTTTCAAAATTCAAGGTAGTATTCATAGATATTCACGGTTGATTGCATTACAGTACGTATGGATGAGCGCTGCGCGCTCACTGCCCTCTATCTCAAAAACGATTGAGCGCATGAAAAAATGTTTCAAATAAAATTTGTCCCAAATTTTGTGATCTACAATTATGATAATAGATGTTAACAACACTGGAGCAATAGAAACCGAGATAATCGCAAAAAACTGTTTTTCTTCATCTTTGACCTTGAATAACTTACGACGCAGACACGAGATTTTATGAGACTTTTGACACAACTTTTAAAACGCCAAAATTAAGGTATATACAAAAATTCAGCTTATTATCTCTCATTCCGAGATTGATCCCTTTTTTATCCTAAAATGACTGGACTATATATAGCACTTAGAATGTTGACAACTGAACTTGTTAGTTCAGTTGTCAACATTCTTGTTAGTTACACAGTGGCATTAAGAGTTCAAAAACTACTTGTTGATCAATGGGATGCATTAATTGTTCAATTAATGGGAGAAAAATTGGATTACACCAGCCGGAAAGAGTGGCAATCCACTCTGACAACCTAAGTTCCAAAATGAACCGAATTTATTACGATTTTAGAAAATAGATGTCAATTGTTAAAGTCTGTTAATCAAATCAATCCAAAACCAGGTAGCTGTAAAATCAATACTAATTAGTAAGGTACACCGAGAAGTAACGGTAAATTCCGACCATACATTAACTCATTAATCAATAAAAAACAAGTTTGTGTTTATTGAAAGTCCGGCTCTCACACAATTTTCAAATGAACGGCACAATACGTTAATTCACATTCCTACTGTAGAAAATGCAAGTTCAAACGTGGCGTTAACTTCAAAAGTTAGTTCCGTTAAGGATTTTCCAAACACTGTTTTACTTGCTACAGCAATTGTGGAAATTTGCTGTAAATAATAATCGCATCACCATTCTTGACTCAAAAATAATTGGAAGAGGCTTTACAAGAACCTCTTTTTGAGCTTTTTAAAGCTTTTGAGACTAACGATTTTATAAGAGGGTGTGGCGCCATCTATGTAGACCTGACCGCGGCGTTTCCCCCCACGAGAGGGCGAGGAGAATTAGTACTTCTGAGAGTCTCGCTCTGACATGAACACGGCTTTGTATTTTCTCTTGTGTGAACCTTTGTGAATAAATTGTTAATTGTTGGGGATTGAGAGTTATTGAGTCCTGACCAACATCAACCCCACAAATTGGTGACCCCGACTAAAAGGCAAATCAACGCGAGGAGAGCGAAAAAACCCAGCCACGTGGTCAAGCAACTCCACGCCGCACCGGGACGAAAAAACAAGATGGCTGGCGACGATGATCAAAGCGAACAAACGCACGCGTCTGCCGCAACCCATTTCGTACTGCCCCCATTCTGGCCAGCCAAGCCAGACCTATGGTTCACAACGGTAGAAGCAAAGTTCCAGATCAGCAAAATTACAAAAGAAGAGACACGTTTCAACCATGTGCTCACCATATTACCACCCGATGTAGCAGCCGAAGTATCCGACGTCATCTTGAAGCCACACGACACGGAGCCTTACACATGTCTCAAACAAGCCATCGTCAGTCGCACCTGCATCACCGAGACGCAGCGACTAAAGCAGTTGTTAGGTGGCCAGGAGTTGGGTTCTAGGAAGCCCTCACAATTGTTGAGAGACATGCAGTCCCTAATACAAAATACGCCCTACGTAAATGCCACAGCGTTAAGAGAATTATTTATTCAACAGATGCCGGTATCCATTCAACCGATCCTTGTGTCACTTACACAAGTCGAAATAGACAAGGTGGCAGAAGTGGCCGACAAAATACTTGAGTCCACCCCGTCGGCAGCGGTGGCGGAAGCACGAGCAAGGTCTCCGCAACCAGGTCCATCACGCTCGAGCGACGTCGACATGATGCAGATGATGTCAAGAATCCTGGAAAGAATGGACAATCTGATGCAACGGCTCGAAGGGGAAAGCAAAAAGCGAACTCGAAGTCGAAGCAGAAGCAGAGAGGACCAGCAGTGCTGGTATCATCGAAAATTTGGGGAGAAAGCCAATAAGTGCACACGTCCCTGCAGCTTTCAAAAAAACGGGCACGAGGGCCGCACGTAAGGGCAGCTGCGGTGGCCCGGCAAGCGTCCCGACGCCTGTTCATTGTCGACAAAGGTTCGAAGACACACTTTCTCGTCGACACAGGCGCCGATATCAGCATTCTGCCCGCCAAATTCAAACACAAGTGCGCCCGTGAACCCACCTCGTTGCGACTACAGTCAGCCGATGGTTCGGATATCCGCGTTTTTGGTCAAATAACCGTCACACTAAATCTTGGCCTTCGCCGCGAGTTCAAGTGGACCTTTATAGTCGCCGAGGTAACGAACGCAATAATCGGCGCAGATTTTCTCGAGCATTATGGCTTGTGCGTGGACATAAAAAACAAAAAAATAAGTGACTCGCGCACATCGCTTTCGGTCGAAGGGCGTTTGAAACGCGCTCACGAACACGGGATCCACGCAGTCTTCGAAGGTGCGAGTGCAACATATAAACAGATGCTGCAAAAGTACCCAGAGGTCACCCGAACTACAACAACACCACGCGAAACGAAACACGACGTGGTTCACCACATTCCAACTCGGGGACCCCCAGCCCACTGTAGACCCCGAAGACTGCCGCCTGACAAGCTGCGAATCGCCAAAGAAGAATTTCGGCGCATGAGGGAAAATGGCATCATACAGCCGTCCTCCTCACCTTGGGCCAGCCCTTTGCATATGGTCCCCAAAAACAATGGCACATGGCGTCTATGCGGGGACTATCGCGGTCTTAACGCAGTCACAATCCCCGACCGCTATCCAGTGCCGCACATCCAAGACTTCGCCGCCAATTTAAAGGGCAAGACAATTTTCTCCTCATTGGACCTATTAACCGCATATTTTCAGATACCTGTAAATCCAAGCGATAGACCAAAGACAGCTGTCACAACACCATTCGGACTCTTCGAATTCCTGCGGATGCCATATGGGTTAAAAAATGCTGGACAAACATTCCAGAGATTTGTAGACCAAGCATTGTACGGACTCGACTTCGCCTACGCCTATATAGACGACATACTTGTTGCCAGTACGTCAGAACAAGAACATGTCCAACATGTGGAGGAAGTGCTCCGACGTCTGCACAAACATGGCATAGTCATCAACCCAGGAAAATGCAAGTTTGGCGTACCTGAGCTAGCATTCCTTGGCGTCAAGGTTTCAAACAAAGGCCTGGAACCGCTCCCAGAGAAAGTCAGCGCAATAAGAACTTTCCCAAAACCAAAAACTTCAAAAGACTTGCAGAGGTTTTTGGGAATGCTAAACTATTACCGCAGATGGATCAATGGCGCAGCAAATACCCAAGCACCCCTGAACAACCTTCTTCAAGGGTGTTCACGTAAAAACGCCGATTTACGTTGGAACCAGGAAGCTGAGAGAGCTTTCGAAAAATGTAAGTCGGATCTAGCTAACATAACAACACTAACATTCCCCGATCCCAAACTGCCACTCAGTTTAGCAGTAGATGCTTCAGCTGAGGCCATCGGAGGAGTGTTACAGCAGTTGGAAGAATCGTCTCAAAAGCCCCTCGCATTTTTCTCATCGAAATTGACAGCCGCTGAAAGGAAGTACAGCGCCTATGATAGGGAGCTCCTAGCGATCTATAAAAGCGTGATACATTTTAAACACTTTCTAGAAGGTAGACACTTTGTAATCTATACCGACCACAAACCACTCACGTACGCCTTCCAACAAAAACCTGAAAAATGCTCGCCTAGACAGTGTCGACATCTGGACTTAATCTCACAGTTCACCACCGATATCAGACACATTCACGGCTCGAACAATATTCCAGCCGACGCACTATCAAGAATCAGCGCAATTACACGTTCAGAGTTCTCTCTCGCACAACTAGCTAAAGCACAAAAGGAAGACACAGAATTGCAAGAGCTAAAAAAGCAAAGCAAGTTCGCGTTCATCACCATTACAGCACCTGTCATAGACGAACCACTCTGGTATGAATCCAACCACGGGAACAGACTCTACGTTCCAAAAACGTTCCGAAGACACATTTTCGACACCATCCACCAAGTAGCACACCCCGGAGTGAAATCCTCCACTAAACAGATTTCGAAGAAATATTTCTGGCCCTCCATGCGGAAAAACATAGCAACATGGGTAAGAGAATGCCTAAAATGTCAGAAGGCCAAAGTGCACAAACACACCCATGCACCAGTTGGCACGTTCGCAAACCCGGATGCCAGATTTTCCCATGTGCACTTGGATATTGTAGGGCCACTACCCTCAGCAAATGGGAAGGAGTACTTGCTAACCCTAATTGATAGATTCACACGATGGCCAGAGGCAACGCCGATTCAAGATATTACAGCTGAAACATGCGCTAAAGCATTTGTCAACACATGGATTTGTCGTTTCGGAACACCAGCCCAAATAACTACAGATAGAGGTACCCAATTCCAGTCATCACTGTTTTCATCCCTGACACAGATGCTAGGCACACACCACATTAAAACCACAGCCTACCACCCACCGAGTAATGGTCTAGTTGAACGTTTCCATCGGTCACTGAAGACATCACTCATGTGCCACGATAGCAAGTGGACTGACGCCCTACCTCTAGTCTTATTAGGCCTAAGAACAACGCTAAAAGAAGACATCAATACATCTGCAGCCGACTTAGTTTACGGTACGTCTCTCCGGCTTCCAGGCGACATGTTTGAGGCAGCAGCGTCGAACCCACAGACACTGCCCCCGCTGACAAACCAGTTCGTGGAGCAGTTGAAAGCCCGAATGCAGTGCCTAAAATACCCAGCAGCACGGCACCACAACAAGCCCTACGTCCATATGCCAAACAACTTGCAGCAATCAGAGTTCGTGTTTGTGAGAGTGGATCTTATACGGAAGCCACTTCAGCCCCCATATGAAGGTCCTTTCAAAGTGCTGGAACGCCACGACAAGTTTTTCACCTTGCTAATTAAGGGTAGGGCTGCAAACGTATCCGTTGATAGGTTAAAACCCGCATACGTCGAAAGAATGACAGATTTCACTCCATGCACGAGTACCAACCGTACCGCCAACCCACCAGATGAAGTCTCTAGTGACGATTCCAATTCTGGCGCCGAGACAGTCGCGCCCAACCAACAAGCACGAAGCGAGCAGACCGCCCGATCAGGGAGACGCGTCAGATTTCCATCGCGCTACAAAGATTTCGTCCAATTTTACTAAAATGTAATGCTTATAACTCATTGTACGTAAATAATTGTAAAAACTTTCTAATCGCTCGAGTGTTCGCAACCCTCTCACTGGGGAAGGCATAGATAAATAATACTACGTAAATAGAATGCAAACTCCCACTTGATTTTTGGTCCCAATAAACGCCCCCTGGTGCCTTGTGGCCGGTGCTAAAGCATGAACTACTAGATGCGTCATTGCTGCATATTTTATAATTAATATTTTATTTTTATTATCACTAATAATATCAAAAACACAGAGTAGAATAATATACAATTTATTAGTATTGTCTACGATTTTTTGATTTTAATTTTTTTTGGTACATTATACAAGCATTTTGATATAATGCATTTTTATGTGTGGAAACTCTTGTATCGCGACCGCTTAAAATTAAATTCAAACCTTTTACAAACGTAAAAATTGTTAAATATATAATTTTATTACATATTTCACTTTCAATTAATTCCTTATGTTCACAATGAAACGAAAATTTGACATGATGAGATACTATAAACGAAATTTTGTTTTTGATGTTGTCGAAAGATGTACAATTGTTTAAAACGATTCTTGAAATATTATAAATTCTGTTAATGTTTTTTATAAAATCTAACTTACAATATTGCAATTTTCTGTAATTACAATTATATTCTCTTATACGTATTAATTTGTAACATTGTTCGTCTTCCGAAAAATTGTTTAAAATTTGGGTTTTACAATATTCACACTTCAAATTTCTTAATGTTTTCGCAACCCAGCCAGACACATAACCAACAATACTTTTATGAAGATCTTTTTCTAAATTATATGGAGACAGTTTTGAAATGTACATATTCACGTTTAAAATTTCGTAACTCGTTTCATTTACTGAAGGTTGATTTATGTTTTTATCCACAAGTCTTTTAATATGAAATAAATCCGGTATGTTCGTTTTCTCACAGTTTGCGCCCACTGAATTTGAACTATAAAAATTGCGTAATAATAGAGATTTGAAACATTCCTTAAATTGGGCTGCCGTTAGATTAGTTGCTCGATTTCTTTGACTTCTGATTTTGCCAAAATAGTTTTCAATAACATCTTGATTTAAACATCTAGGTAAAAAATATTTGCACCTGCCCTGTTCTACTAAAATTGTATGTAAATCCACAAAACCTTCTAACGTTGCAATCCAGTTTTTTATACACGGAGGTACTACCATTTTTCCGGCCTCATCGACGAAATACATATCACCCAAAATTTTGATAGCTTCCTTCCAAAAATGTTTATGACCAGAAGATTTAAATACGCCCCCAGAAAATGGTTTTCCGCACCGTGGTTGAAAAGTACTGCCATTTACACTGTCGAAGAGCTTGTCAAAAAATTTTATAATTCGTGCTGTTCCCATTGCCTCGTTTGTTAAACTGCATTCGGCTGTAAAATTAAATTGTAAATGAATCTGTTAATTATTTTTAAATTTGTATTTACTAGATTTAACCAATAGCGTAATAGTCGATGCCATTGAGTGACTCAAAACTTCTGTCGCATAGCACACCTTCATCTTTTGAATTTTTTCCGGAATTACATGGAGATCCGTAATTTTGTGTAGAGCCCGTAATTCTCCACATGTTTGATCACTGTAGTACGCATCGATTATATGTATGTTTCCAATTTGCAACCAAAATTTCCTCGCTTGTTTTCCACACTAAATTTTTAGTAAGCAGATTGTTCCTAATACATTTAATTAAATGAGGCGTGTCATATAAGGGAATAATTTCTTGATCCCCTAATAAAATTCTTCTTTTAGGTTCCATCCCTTTATGTATATAACGTTGTTTCGACTCCTTTAGCAGAGAATTTATAGCTGCTTGGTTTGGTTGGCCTTGATCACAAATTGTAACCAGAATTTTGAATCCACAATTTTGTATTTTTTCAACCAGAGTTTTTATAATAGTTGTCAATATGTAAGATTTTGTAGACGAAAAAGAAAATGCAAAGTATATTGGCTGTTGCCATTTTTTAAACACTCCGCGAATGAAAAAAACAAGAACATGATCTGCTATCTGTAAATTTTGTTCAAATCCAAAATTTTGAAATCCGAAAAATGTATCCGTATATTTGTCATAGTCTATGTGGGGCACTATGGACATTTCATCAAAAATTAATGCACATATTCTATTTTGGTTATTTAATTTTGAAGCAGATTCTTTAAGATTGTCGAAAATTATTTTGTTTATACCAACGTCTACTGGAATTTTGTTCAACATAGACATAATTGTTTGACGTGAAGGCAGTGCAAAAATCTGTCTCATTTTTCTATAACATCTCCCAGACTGTTTATAAAACATTAATGCAAATAATTTATCTTCAGTGGTAAACCTGCGACCCTTTGGTTTGACATTTCGTCTTTTTAATTGTGATAAACAAAAATTTATAGCATCCTGACTTAAAATTTTGCTTTCTAATTTTACTTCAAATTTGGAGTATAATTTCAATACGAAGCTACCTTAATTTTGTTTCTACGGGCTGTACGCGAAATATTCCTAGAATTTGAATGTAAATTTAGTATTCGAGAAGATTCTTGGTTTAAAGTTTCGTTTAGGGTTTCTCTGGAATTTCGAGATACTTCAGTACAAAATTTTTGAGAATCCAGTATAGAAATAGGGTTTACGGGATCATGGGTGTGTCTTTCGGGGTCGTTCATATTATCTGAAATTATTGTAAAAATTATCTATGGCATTCACTTGCACACAAATATTTACCATGCATAATTTGAATTGTAGGAATGGCAGTATTTTTAAGTTTTTGATTGGGGCCAAAAGCCGTTTCTTTAAAATGTACATCGCAAAGAAAATATCCATTTTTATATATTTTCGTGGGATCTAATTTGCCTAAATTTGGATTCCCTGTCCGTTCCAACCAAATTTTAAAACGCTCGTTGTATTTGTAGGGGTTGGGAAAACGATGGCGTTTTAGTTATCACGTATAATCACACAAATGACACTTTTATACTAATCATAAATGACATTAGTTTTTTTATTGTTTCTTAAAATTGGCTGTGGAAGTTGTCGCCAAGTAATTTTTGGAAAAAAATACTTTACTGCTATCAGTGCTATCTCTTATTATGTGGCCGGTACATAAGCCTAGACACAAACCTGGGACACGCATTACAGCCGAGTTTGCATTCTATTTTACGTAGTATTATTTATCTATGGGGGAAGGAGTGATGTGGCGCCATCTATGTAGACCTGACCGCGGCGTTTCCCCCCACGAGAGGGCGAGGAGAATTAGTACTTCTGAGAGTCTCGCTCTGACATGAACACGGCTTTGTATTTTCTCTTGTGTGAACCTTTGTGAATAAATTGTTAATTGTTGGGGATTGAGAGTTATTGAGTCCTGACCAACATCAACCCCACAAGGGCATGTGAATGCAATATTCACTGCGTTTCAAATAAAATGTACCACCTAAAAGGAGTAGGCGTAGAATGTTGAAATTTGGTGGAGAAGACATACAAACATTTGATTAAAATTTGAACTCCTCTGCGAACTCGTGGCATTTTAGCAAGCACAATAATGACAAATGTCAAATAAAACTACAAAAGAATGTTACTTAAGTGTCTTTAAAGCATAATCAAAAAATGAATAAAAGCCGAATAACACCCGGTATATTATCTAAACAAGTTGTAGTTTTTCTTTCAAATTTTAATCAATTGTTTGTCTATGTGCAACAGTCTTCTCCACCAAGATTCAACATTCTACGTCTATTCCTTCTAGGTGGTGCATTTTATTTGAAACGCAGTGTTTATACCGTAACATGGGGTGAAAATGATTTTGTGGGGTGACTTTGATAATATAACGGGATTTCTTAAAATGATTTAAATTACGCGCCCAAATAATCTGAGAACATCTAAATAAAACTGCATTGGTTAGTGGGAAGCTGTGTGTTTACGGTAAGTTTAGCTAAGATTATTTTTACAAATTGTTTAAAGTGGACCTAGCTGTTTGTCATTTTATAACCCTCTACAAAATCATCTGCTCTTTATAAATAATTGGGGTGAAATTGATAAAGTTATCAATGTCACCCCAAGTTTATCAATTATAGCAATAATTGTCCACAATTCAGTCTTTTCTGTTAAAATAATAAATATTTGATTTCTACAGACTAATTAATGCGAAGAGAATGGAAAAAACCATATATCTAATAGTACTATATTGCTAACTCTTCGGAAGTAACATAGAAACGGTGTTCACGGACAGAGAGAGACAGAAGATGTTGTTTTCTGTCTATAAGAGTACCGAGGGTCTGTGCGCATGTACACAAAATAGAAGCGAAAGTACGAAATGTCAAAAAGCATCCAGTCACGCTATCCACTACAAATCAACCAAGTACGGGTGCATGCGCAGTACTGTTTGGTACCACAGAGAGACAGAGAGGTCCGATATATTGCTCTGCCGTTATGTTTTCGGAATCTTTTGAGGCCAGTTAGCAATATAGTACTATTAGATATATGGGAAAAACCTACAAGCGAAAAGTTGTCGATCATCAATGGTCTTTGAATAAAGCTGCAAGACACTATTCTATTCCTTATGGCACCTTATGTAACAAATACGTGTTTACCTTAAACGAAGAAAAAAGCATTATTCAGGCAGCGGTAATTTGTGGTGATTGGGGATTCCCATTAAATGTGGAAAATTTACAAATGGTAACAAAATCATTCTTGGATAGTCACGGACGAGTGGTAAACAAATTTACCAACAATATGTCTGGTCGGATTGGGTTTTCTCTCTACTGAAGAGATACGGCGACATTTTGACTTAACGTCTAGCTTCAAATATCAAACGTGCTCGAGCAAATGTCTCCTTAAATACCTTACAAGATTACTTACAGATCTAGAATCTTCCATTGCTGACGTACCTGCATGCAACTTGTTTAATTATGACGAAACGCACGCGTCTGATGATCCTGGACGTAAGCGTGTAGAGAATTGAAACATCTATTTTTATGTTTATGGTTTTATGTGTTTAAATGTCAAGTCGATACTACAGATACCTTTTTTTTTGTGCAGTTGTTTTATCGATAGAAATCCACGACCTCATAAGGTTATGGGCCTAGCTCCCGAGAGCGCGGAGTGTTTTTTGTCAAGATGGCACAGAATTACACCCCAGTTATCGAAAAACTGAAAGGTAGGGAAAACTACACCACATGGAAGTTTGGGATGCAAGCGTATCTTGAACAGGAGGACCTTTGGGGTTGTATACAAGGAATTGAAGCCTACACAAAAGATGCAAACAAAGACATTAAGGCAAAGTCGAAGATCATGCTCACAGTTGACCCGATAAATTACGTACATATCCAGGAAACCACGACAGCCAAAGAAACTTGGGATAAGTTGCAAAGAGCTTTCGAAGACAATGATTTGACAAGAAAAGTTGGTCTTCTCAGAACTCTTGTGACAACACAATTGAATAGCTGCAGTTCGGTAGATGAGTATGTAAATCGAATCATCACAACCGCCCACAAACTAGATGGTATTGGTTTCAAAATTCCTGATGAATGGGTACGAACAGTCCTGCTTGCTGGATTGCCTGAAGAGTACAAACCGATGATCATGGGCATAGAGAATTCAGGAACAGCAATCACAGCCGATTCAATTAAAACGAAACTACTGCAAGATATTCAGAATAGTTCAGCTAGAAGTAGCTCCCACAATGCAGCAGCCCTACTTTCAAACAGGAGAACTGATCGCGACACATGACAACAGATTCAGATTGGTTGGAAAATCCAAAAGAGTGCAGAAATATAGAAATCAGCGCCTCAGATAATTCCAAGATGGAAGCGGAAGCCATGGGAAATGTAAGAGTTGCAGTAAAAAGCGAAAAAACTGAAGAAGTACTTGTGAAAGACGTAGCGTATGTACCAAAAATTGCTGTGAACCTACTTTCTGTCAGTAAGATTGTTAATGGAGGTTATACCGTTACATTCAGCAAAAATGGTTGTGAGATTACTACTAAAGATGGAAGTTTAATAGCAACGGCATCACAAACAAACGGCATATACAAATTGGACAGTCCAACTAAGTCAGTATGCTATGCAACTGAAAAAGCAAATGGAGAGTTATGGCATAGGCGTCTTGGTCATTTAAATCGAAAGGGAATGCAAAAATTAAAGAATGACCTAGCCACAGGCCTTGATTTCAAAGAATGCAGTGCGCAACCTTGTGTGACCTATGTAAAGGGAAAACATCACAAGCAACCATTCAAACGAAGCAATAACCGCACTCATAGCGTATTAGAGCTGATACACTCACGACGTATGCGGTCCCATGGAAACAAAATCGATCGGTGGAGCCCGATATTTGCTCACACTTGTAGATGACTATTCAAGGAAGGTTTTTATCTATTTTCTAGAAAGCGAAGACCAAGTAACAGAAACTTTCAAACAGTTTAAAGCGATGGTAGAAAATGAAACTGGCAAGAGAATAAAGAAACTTAGGTCAGATAATGGAACAGAGTATGTTAATAAAAATCTTCAAGACTTATTGCGAAAAGCAGGCATAAAACACAATTTAACAGTCCCATATAATCCACAACAAAACGGCATCGCAGAGCGAATGAACAGGACTATTGTAGAAAAGGCAAGAAGTATGCTCATTGAAGCAGAGCTCCCCACAGAATATTGGGCAGAAGCTGTAGCTACTGCAAGCTACCTGACTAACAGGTCCCCAACACGAGCGGTTCCTTTAACTCCTGAAGAAATGTGGAGTGGAATAAAACCTGACTTACGCCATCTTAGAGTCTTAGGCACTAGCTCATGTGCCAAAAGAATTGAGACGTCTAAAGAGTATATTTTTGTAGGATATTTTGAAGATATCAAGGGATACAGACTTATTGATCCCAAAACACACAAAATAGTAAAGAGCAGAGATGTAGTATTCATAGAGCAGACAATTGAAAAAGAAATCAACTCTAGTGAAAATTCCCAGGTTATTCTAGATACAGAAGAAAGTGAAAAGCGACATGATAAATCAAGAACAGTAACAGTGAGTTCGAATACAAGCGAGAACGGCGAAGAATTGGTGAAAAACACCAGTCAAGAACATTCAGAAATTGGAAGAGCCGAAGCAGATGACCGCAAAGATCCAGATTATTCACCAGAAAGCGAATACTCCAGTACAGATGAAGAAAATGGTCAAGTTCGTCGAAGTGAGAGACGTCCAAAGCCAATTATCAGGGAAGATTTTATTTCTTACCTAACGATGAATCAAAATACAACAGATCCACAATCAGTTGAAGAAGCCCTAACAAGTAGAGAAATAAGTTTATGGAGGGAAGCAATGGAGCAGGAATATGAAGCTCTGATGGAAAATAAGACTTAGGTTCTAGTCGACCCACCTCCAGACAAAAAAATTTTGAACACAAAGTGGGTCTATAAGAAAAATACTAATGCAGAAGGAGATGCAGAATGCTATAAAGCCCGCCTAGTAGTGAGAGGCTGTGCACAAACAGAAGATTATACAGAAACATTTTCACCAGTGATCAGGTATAATTCTATCAGATTCCTGTTTAGTTTAGCAGCTAAACATGATTTACTTATGCACCACGTTGATGTTACCACAGCATATTTACACGGTGAACTACAAGAAGAAATTTACGTTTACCAACCTGAAGGTTTTGAAGCTAAAAATAAAAGGTCTAAAGTATGCAGACTAAAAAAATCCATGTATGGATTGAAACAAAGCGGAAGAGCATGGAATCAACGGCTTAATAAAGTTTTGCACGAATTAAATTTCACGCAAAGTAAAGCTGATCAATGCATTTACTTTAAAAGAGATGACGAAGAAACTGTCAACATTGGAGTCTACGTTGCTGACCTCTTAATTTTGGCAAGTAATGAATTACTAATGGCGTCTACAAAAACAAGTATAAACGATTCATTCAAAGCAAAAGACTTAGGAGAAGCAAAATGCTGTTTAGGAATGAAAATCACAAGGAATATTCAAGCAGGGAAATTATGGATTGACCAAGAGAAATATATCCAAGAAACTTTGGAAAAATTCATGTCAGACTGCAAGCCAGTATCAACACCGATGGATGTCAAGAAACTGAGTAAAGAACAGTCACCAACAGAACAAGAAGAAATTGAAGAAATGAAGAAAGTTCCGTATAAAGAAGCTGTTGAAAGTTTACTATATGCTTGTCAGGGACCAAGGCCCGATATCGCTTTTGCAACAGGAGTTGTCAGCCGTTACTGCAATAACCCAGGTAAAGCACACTGGTCCGCCGTCAAACGAATATTTAGATATCTCAAAGGTACAATGGACTTCCAACTGCAATTTAGTAAGCATGGCGAAGATTCACTAATCGGATTCAGCGACGCAGATTGGGCCAACGACACGAACGATAGACATTCCGTATCAGGGATATTTTTTACTATGTGGCCGCCTGGAAGTAGGCAACCAGATATACACCCAGAATGCAGCCACCGGATTGGCAGTTACAACGCGCAAGCCCAAAGGGGAAATGCCATGGTCGAAAAGTAGAACAAGAAAACTCTCTCTTCTTCTCCGACTCCTCTTCATGTGCAGACGCTCTCTTCTCTTCCAAGACCTCCACGTGGATAGACACTTACAACCTCGGGCTGTATTATCAAGTCCTAACTTTGTAGTTGGTATTGTTGTAAATAAACCTTTATTAAAACCCGTTTCCGTTAGTAATACGACGACAACAATTACAATTGGTGACTCCGACGTGATCGAAGAACTACGGGTACGAACATGCCGACTGTCGAAGAACTGCAACAGCAACTTGAAAAACAGCAAGAAGCCATCCGGAAGCTAGAGCAAGAACTCGCCAATACTCGAGCAAGCAAAAGCACTGGAGATGAAGAGCTGCTCAAGAACCTCGACGAAGTAAAGGTCACATCGTCGAGCTTGAAGCTACCGACATTTTGGCGACGCGATCCAGCGTTGTGGTTCGCACAGGTTGAAGCACAGTTTTACACCGCACGGATAACCTCGGACCAGACGAAGTATTGCACCGTGGTAGCGGCGCTAGACTGCAGCACACTCCAGCCAGTCAAAGACATCGTAGCGAACCCACCAGACAAAGAGAGGTACGACACAATTAAGAAGAAACTGATAGCCGCCTACACCGATTCACAGGAGAAGCAGCTACGAAAGCTGATAAACGAAATGGAGCTAGGGGACCGACAACCATCCCAGTTATTCCGCGAAATGAAGGCACTCGCGGGGCAGCAGATGAATAGCGAAGTCATAAAAACGCTCTGGCTACAGCGACTTCCACCACATGTCCAACTTGTGCCGTCTGCGAGCGAGGGAGTACCGCTGGAAAAGATGGCAGAAATCGCGGACCAATTGGCGGAAATACACAGAAGCAACGCTATGACTTCCAGTATTAACGCGATAGGCGCCACCAGCGACACGACGCGGCAGAATACCATCGTACCAACACAGGAAACTAACCTCATTACGGTAATTGCAGACCTCCAAAAACAGATGGCGGCCTTGTCAGTAGCCGTAACTCATCTAAGCAACACGAGAGGGCGCAGTCCTCAAGCACGGCAGAATGACCGCCGAAATCGGTCAAGGACACACAGCAGGCAACGCACAGATCAAAATGGCGTTTGTTATTACCACGCCAAGTTCGGTGTAAACGCCCGAAAGTGTTTCAAACCTTGCACGTTTGTACAGCCGGAAAACTAGAGGCGCCGTCGGTAATCGAGGCGGTACACGACGACGCGCGTCATCATCGTCTCTTCGTCACGGATTCCAAATTCGTAATCAGGTACCTAGTCGATACGGAGCGGAGGTCTCAGTCCTGCCGAAAACGTTTTTAGGTAAGGCTCAGTCACAGACACAAGATACACCCGCCCTATTTGCAGCGAACAACACACCCATCCGCACGTTCGGCCAGAAATTCATGGTGGTCGACTTGAAGCTACGCAGAAATTTTAAATGGGTTTTCATCCTCGCGGACGTCGAGAAACCAATCATAGGGGCCGATTTTCTCGAGTACTACCACCTCCTACCGGACCTGAGAAACCGGAAGCTGGTAGACCCTTTGACACACCTCTCTTCCCCCGGTTTCGTATTGGCCTGCTTTGTACCACGTATTACGACGGTGGCAAAAACCTCCAGCTACCACAATCTGCTGGCGGAATACCCGGAATTGACGAAAGCACCACGTCCGGGAAGTCAAACATCCAGCTCCGTAGTGCATCACATATACACAACTGGCCCTCCTGTAGCTGAAACACCGCGCAGACTGCCACCGGAGAAACTCAAGGCTGCCAAAGCTGAGATCCAGTACATGTTGGAGCAAGGGTGGTGTCGCCCCTCCAGCAGTCCATGGGCCAGCCCATTGCACCTCGTACAGAAGAAGAATCCTGGGGAATGGCGTCCTTGTGGGGATTATCGGAGGCTGAACGGGGTAACAACCCCAGACAGATACCCCATACCACACATCCAGGACTTCTCGGCCAAACTAGAGGGAAAAACGGTATTCTCCACGATAGATTTGGTACGCGCTTACCACCAAATACGAGTGGCCGATGAGGACATCCCCAAAACTGCAGTGTGTACGCCATTTGGTTTATTTGAGTTCACAGTGATGACCTTTGGTCTACGCAATGCAGCGCAAACTTTTCAAAGACACCTCAATAATGTGCTCAACGATTTAGACTTTTGTTTCGCATATATAGACGATATTTTAGTTTTTTCCGCGAACCCAGAGGAGCACGTGCGACATTTAAAAACGCTGTTTGAAAGATTGAAGCAACACCAAATTGTGGTTAACGCAGCAAAGTGTGTGTTCGGGGCAAGTGAAGTGGAGTACCTAGGACACAGCATTTCGACTCACGGGACCCGTCCAGCAACCGCGAAAGTGACGGCGATAAGTGATTTTCCTAAGCCGCAAACTGTGAAGGACTTACGTAGGTTTCTCGGCATGATCAACTTTTATCGTCGCTTTGTCAAAAATGCTGCATCTATCCAAGCCCCGCTACATGTGTACCTGCGAAATTCACAAAAAAATGACAAAACGCCAATCAGCTGGACTACAGAGGCGGAAGAAGCGTTCAGCCAGTGCAAGAGCGAGTTGTCGAGCGCTGTGCTGCTAGCACACCCTTCCGAGAACGCCTCATTAAGATTGACCACCGATGCTTCGGATACAGCCATGGGGGCTGTGTTGGAGCAGGAGGTTAAAGGGGACTGGCAACCCCTGGGATTTTTCTCAAAAAAGTTGACCAACACCCAACGAAGGTACAGCACGTACGACCGTGAGCTGCTCGCCATATACGAAGCCATCAAGTTTTTTCGCTACATGGTAGAAGCGAGAGTCTTCACGGTCAGAACGGACCACAAGCCTTTGGTTTACGTGTTCAAACAGAACTCAGAGAAAGCATACCCGAGACAGTTACGCCAACTCGACTTCATCAGTCAGTTCACTACTGAGATAGAAGACATCCCGGGCGAAAACAACATGGTGGCGGACACATTATCCCGAATCAGCGAAGTTCACACGGTAGCAGTGATCGACCCAGACGAACTCGCCTCCGCCCAAGAACAAGACCTGGAGTTGAGAAACCTGCTGAATTCCAGTCCCAGTTTGAAGCTACAGAATCTCACACCCATGAATTCGGATACGGCGATCTGGTGCGACACAGCCACAGGGAGAATTCGCCCCTACATACCCCTCCACTTACGAAAAAGGGTATTTGACATGGTACATTCTAAATCACACCCAGGCGGCAAAGCCACATTCAACGCGGTACATAAAAGTTTTGTGTGGCCATACATGGAACGCAACATAAAAAAATGGGCGCGTGAATGCCTACCTTGCCAGCGGTCTAAGGTAAGTAGGCACACTAGGACACCCCTAAAGCATTTTGAACTTACAGAATGCCGATTCGAACATGTACACATGGACATCGTTGGGCCATTACCACCATCACAGGGACACCGGTACTGCCTCACGATGACATACAGGTTTACCCGATGGCCAGAAGTAATTCCAATGACGGACATGACGGCGGAGACGGTGGCGAAAACCTTTTACACAACCTGGGTCGCGCGGTTTGGTTGCCCCTACCGTATTACAACTGACCAAGGCCGGCAGTTCGAGGCCACACTGATGTCTGCCCTCACAGACCTTTTGGACACTAAACGTTGCCGAACAACGCCATACCGACCACAGTGCAACGGGATGATCGAGAGGTGGCACAGAACGATCAAAGCCGCCATCATGTGCCACGAGCCCAGTGACTGGTACGACATCCTCCCTACGGTGCTGTTAGGTTTAAGGACAACAATCAAGGATGACCTTCAGTGTTCCCCAGCTGAGCTGACTTACGGTACGCAATTACGAATCCCGGGGGAATTTTTCTTCGCAAACGACGAGCCAGAAGTCGACCCCAACAATTTCGTTGACAAGTTGAGGCTCCACATGGGCAACGTCCGACCAAGACCAGCAACCCACCATGGCCGCCACAAGACTTTTGTCCACCCAGAGCTGTCTGACTGTTCCCACATCTTCCTCAGAGATGACTCAGTCAGGAAGCCGTTACAACCACCATACACCGGACCACACCACGTATTACGACGTACAGACAAGGTGATAGTGATAAGCATGAATGGAAGGGAAACCACTGTGAGTCTGGACCGAGTAAAACCGGCTTTCATATCGGCAGAGTCCGGCACTCCGCCTCGTGTGCAGCCCCCAACGCAACAGGTCCCGACAACACCTGCGTCGACGAGCACCACCACAAGGTCAGGAAGAACAGCCAGGCCACCAGTGAAATTCGGCGACTACGAAAGCCCAAAAACTTGATGACGTCATATCATCAGTATATTTTCGTAATTTACCATTGCATTCATATTTTTTAGATTTGCTTTTACAGTGACTCAAAAAAATGTAAGGATCAGTTAATTTATTTTAGAGAATAACTCAAGAGTTGCAGAAATGACATAATTAATATAATTCATAATGTTTAAATATGATAACTATTAATATGTGATAATTAAACCGAAAACTATTTTCCTAAGAACACGAGGTTAGCAAAAACAAATTAGTTTGTTTAAACATTGTTAAATTAATCCCGAAAATGTACAATTTCTGAGCTAAAATATGAAAAATAATTTTTGCAATCTCATCGTGACGTACGATGACGTCACTGTCACGTGAGCTACCTGATGAAAGGTCACATTTTTCGGTCCTCTGTGTTTAGTTTTGATTTCGGTTTGGTAGCAGCAACACTGGAGCTCCGTTTTGGGTTAAAAGTAGCACGTGTTCGCGAATTTCTAATTTATTGTCAATAAATATTAGCGAAAATGTTTTGTGTTAAGTGCTGTGAACACGAAAGAAAGTGGATATTTTTTCAAAAATGCCCGATTTTTTTTGAAATATGTTGTTAATAACATGCATTCAGGACTGATAAAGTACGGCTTTAGAGTAAACAAAGTACAGCGTTCATAATTCACAAAATACAGTATGCATCATTTTTAAACTCCGGCGTCCAAATTTACAAAATACGGTGTCCTTCACCCATGCTATCAAACTCTAGTCCTCTTTTTTAATGGCAAGACGCACTCCAGACCTCCTCGTATTGTTTGGTTCTTGCTGGGCAACAGCAACGAGCGAGCAAAGTCATCGCTCTTTGGTGGCAAACGTGGAGAAATTTGTATATTGTAACTTTTGTAATTGAAGCATTTTGTACTGTATATTTTATGTGTTACTAACTTAACTTGGGTCTTGCCAATTTAGCTTCTGTGGTGCAAATGCTTTGTTTTCACGGTGCATTTGCTTGGGTTTTAATTTTCCAATAGTGCATTCTTTGGTTCCGAGTCTGAATTCTCCATGTCCTCACACGCTCTGGCCTGGGGGGGTTCTGTTGGCCCTTAGACGCTGGGTTGCATCGCTCTTAGAATTGAGGTAAGACGACCTTGGATTTATGCGGCTGCGTTCCTCCCTTGGGCGTGTGAGCGCTGCGACCTATAGATTTCGTCCCGAGTTCCATCGGTGTGCTTGTTTGGGTTTTCATTTTGCAACATTCTCAATTTTTGGTGCAATTTCTTCCGGTGGTGTATTGGGTACTAACTTTGCATTTGTATTGTATGTGAATTTTATCTGTATCTGTAGTGTATTCTGTATTGTAGTTAGATTGCAGGTACCTGTATTGTATTTCCATTGTATTGTACTGTGTAACGTTCTATCCCTCATTAACAAATCCTTGCCCTCTCCTTTCCTAGCGAGATCTGCTCCAGACCTTCGCGTGGTTCTTGCTGAGCATCAACTATCGAGGACAGAAAATTCAAATTCAAAACCAGCAAAGTTTCACAAAAATCATGAAAATCGCTCGTTGGTGGCCAACGTGGAGCAAGAGAGACTTTTGTAACTCAACTAACTTTGTTAACTCTATATTCTTAAGGAAACAAAAATATATTACATTTAATTTATTATTTATAAGGACAAATAGTCA